GGTATAACTGCGCAGTCATTTTGTTATCCGGCGTTAATTTTCCGCATTCAGCTAACCATATCAGACTCCCGGTGCAACGCCTGTAACAAATTTGTTCGCATAATATTATGCCTTCCTATATTTCTCAACAATATTTGCTGCAGCATTGCCACCCTGTAGCGTTCATCTTGTGTGCTTGGCTTTCTCTCTCTCATCTACGTCTTTCTCGGTAGTCTCGGCTCAGTCCTTAGTCAATTTAAAATTTTTGTGATTACTGGACCATTTTCTGCGAAAAAAATCAGTAAGCCAAGAAACTCGCTTTTAGATTAGCGCCCCTCAGACACGTGGCCAAAACTGATTGTTGCGCGATTTCAACCACCTCTCCCGCACTGCGTAGCAACTCGGTGGCCTCTCCCACTTTATCCTCTAACCTCACTCGACGCAAGCCTTGCACAGACGATCCCCGGACGACGAGTACTCAATAATTTCTTCCCGGTGGCATAATTTCTTCTGGCTTTCTGAACATCAGTAAGCCTCTCAGCGTAACGCAGACAATCGCTTAGTTTTGTGATGTTGAAATCGCTTCAGCGCGAGGTATTCTTAGGCTGTCTGGTGCACTGTCTGATGATGTTCTTTCTGGTACTAAGTCGGTCGGTATTAGTATCGTAGTGCAAAGAAACAAGACAGGCACACGATGACGCACACAGCGCTACAATCTCCATGTTACTGACATCACGTGCCTTTCTTGCGTGTTAATTCTTTGCGCAACCACAGTAATCAGAAATGTTCCTTACTAACAAGCCCACTTTGATATCTCTGGGAATTTATTTTACGGATAGGCAAATACACTTCAACGCTCAATGAAACCCACTATTGCAGTCTCAGTAATAAAACGTTTGAGATATTTTTTAGTAGAATTGCCTACAGCTGTAGTAAAACTAATATTTCACCGCAATAAATAGCCTCACAGACGAATGTAGCAGTGCATTCCTAAAGATCTAATAAAATATCTGATTCCATTACGTAGTTCTTGTTTCCAACAACCCATTTATGCAGACATGAGTCAGATTTCAACGTGCAGGATGCCTAAGTGCCTAGATAAACTTAATGCAGTGCTGATGAAACTCGTTAGGCTTCATTAGAATCATCATCAGCTAAAACTGTTTTAGCCCATTAATCTACTGAAACGGACGTGCCTCATAGAAAAACGCAAATTTTCGTTTCCCTGACGTCATTTTTCTCGTTCCAGAGAACATACGTTAGATCACTGGCAGATACCAACACTGCCGTGCCCTGCGGTATGCGATTTGCTGGGTCGCGAAGCGTAACAGCCACCCCACACAAACGCCCGGGACCACTCTCTACATAGTGGGCCCTGACTCGGAAGGATCGGCGTCGACATCCGGTTGTTGCATACGCACACCTCCCTATAGACCCAAGTGTATGTTTTCACTAGTCCGATGTCGTTCGGCCCACATTCCCTCGGCTAGCTAATTCCATGGCGCACCTTTCTCGAAACTCCTCTGTCAGGGCAGGCCAGGCAGCAGATGCGAGTAGCTGCTGGCGACTACGGGGCTGGCCTCCTCCGGCATGATCGGCCGATACGTCGAAGCAAGCCGTCGGCGCTGGGTTGCCCAACTACGTGATTTTCAATCAATAGAGCTGTGATTAGAAGCAGCCAGGACGCTGCGTGTCGCTTTAATTGTGTTACGCGCGAAGCTTGACGGCGAGGAGATTGAAAGGGGGCTCGCTGGCGCGGGCGGCCACCGGATCCGGCGAATTGTTCCCTTCCCGGCCGCCTGCTTTTTTCACCCTGCCGGACGAAGGAAGATAAATTCGCGCTTTGTACTTCTTATGGGGCCGGCCTCGAAGCTCCGCTGTCGCCCCGGCTGGCAGCAGTTTCAAAGAGGCCCGCGTTGCATTGTTAGTCCCCGCGCTCTAGGCTATAAGCCTGATTCCGGTGCCATCGTTCTATTCTTTTTTTTATTGTTTCTTGCTCTTCTTTTTTGTTATTGTTGTTGTTCTCATACATTCTCAGTTAGTTACTTAGCAACTCTTTTTTTTATTGCATACTGTGGCCGTCGCGGATGGCTTACGCTGCTCACCTTGACAGTGCGCACACAAAAAGCTTACCTCTCCTCGTTTCGAAAATTGAGCAAAAGCACAATAAAGAAGAACAATCAACGGAACTCCCCCTTACAACACTAAACTCAATTATAAATGAGCTCGTTTTCGAAGTCAATAGAAGCTCCCTACACAACAGAAAGGTACGAAAAGCTATCGGGAAAGAAAGAGGAGAACGTTTCGTAATTACGTCATTCAGCACTGACTTGATGGTATGAAAGAAGCAGAACAAATATACGCAATCCCGACGGGTACGGTTCAGCAGAGCGATTGTTTGTGGAATACATTCTAGACAATATTACGCTTGTATTATATTGTATGCCTTGCGCTTTCGTCAGTGTAATCCCAACACTTCCTTCGTTCTCCTTATTGGGAACCCTGACCACTGTGCTTAGCTTACCGACCATTGCTGAGCTGACCGAAATCAATAAGAGGTCCCTGCTATTGCGCCCCGGACAGGCGAACCAAGGCCCAAAGAGCCGTAGCAAGACCTGATGGGTTTTCGCCGCTTCTATTATTGTTCTCGAGTGCTCGGGATCGGTTTCCGAGAAATCTCGCCGGGAACCCAATGAATGCGTAATTAAATGTGTCGTCTCTGCCTGCCGACATGTCCACTCTGGCTTAATGAACATAAATTGCTTCGTTATAGAATACCACGGGGACGAAGGAAAACCACAAACGCGTGAACGAAATTAAGCACGTTACGGATTCCACCGGGGCAGATTCCTCGCGTTCGATGCACCTGATGTATTCCGAGACGCTCGTGTCAACGAACCTTGCCTTTTGCCATTGGATCGGTGTGCGTCGTGTCAAGACATCGATAGTGCTCGGTTCTGCGTTTAATGGCAAGAAAATAAAGCGTGCAATAATAGATTTTTTTTGTTTCCATGAATAATAAACTTTCGCTTTTTTCGTTGTATTCTGGTGTAGAAATATGAATTAGCGTTGTTTTAATCAGTGAGAAGTCGCTGAACGTTTGCTTAGATTTCGCGCACGTATGCGTTCTTGAGTGCTTTTTGCTTTTTTGTTGAGCTGCACTGGCAAACTTTCTGAATATAAACTTTACTTAGAAGTGAGCGTTCGTCTTGTGTGGTTCATCTTCTTTGCGCTTTTGTCTTTTTTTTTGCGTTTCAAAGCACCTTGATAAAAGATATTCTGGGAATTCATGCGGTTTTCTTGTCTTCTCGCTAAGCGAAAGTGGCATCGCAGGCCTGTCTCTGCCCGATACGGCAAATATAGAGGAGTCAGCTTGATGCTATGCTTCAGTTTAATCTCACGAACGTTGACCCGTGCTGAGTAGAACTACGGAGCACTGCTCTGACTTCAATGGTGTGCAACGCCAACGCTATAGTACCACTATTTGTCTACCACTATATGCATGCTGCGGAGGCGAAGGCAAGTCAAAGGACTTGCCTTCGTACAATTGGGAAATGAGATGCATTTTTTTCTGGCGGCCAGAAATTTATTCTCTGCAATGTTGCATTTATGTTTTTGTTTCTAATATATACTAGCACGTGGCACTTCTGTTATGCCAAAACTGTTGTTTTAAAATATCCCGTTTTATTTTCAAGGGCAACTTGTATTTCTATTTTTATTTGCACCTCAACAAGAACTCCGAACAGGAGTGTAGTTGATGTAAGATTGCTTCGCTTAATCAGTGTGATGACAACAATACGGAAAAAAATGTGCAGAACACAAATGCTACGCAAATACGATGGTATATCTGTGTTCATCTGTACGATGTACCTTGCTTTTTTTAAGATATATAAATATCATTTCTTCTACATGAAGCGATATTCTTTCGGGCACCACTGGTTTCACCGTGTGATTTACACTTTAAAATATTTGTTTTTAATTATGAACTTTTTAGCAACCTTTGCAGGCACACTTTTCAGCACTGGAAGATATATTGTTTCCCCATTAATTTACGGGAAACATTTTCTTATAAACTCTGTTCCAACTTATTAGCTATGTTCCCGTTTATAATTTTTACTCAGAACACAATGACAGCGTTCTGTCTAGTGCTGAGTTTTAATATTCAAATATGTAATATGTAGCAGAATTATGTATGCTAGACGTGTCAGTACATGAACTTAGATAGCATGTCACATGCATAGTTCAATTATCAATTCAATAGATAACAAGTCAGATGTCTAGCTCAATTATCATTTCAATGATATACCACTTCTTAGTTATACATGGGTAGCTCCCAATTTGTCAATTTGTGTAACCATCATCATATCATCATCTGCAGTGACTCGACATAAGAGACTGTGAACAAAAATTTATAAACAAGTTCATCAGCTCGATATGTTCATCAGAGCAAATGCGGATCCATGGTGAGGTGCGAACTTACCTAAATATAGCGAAGGTGGTCAATCACTGTCATAATGCAGTTGCCAGTTGAAACCTTTGTGTTCCAATATGGGATGCATGCAGAGGACACTGAAATCAGCAAGGCACACTACAGAAGTAAGATTATTGATGATTATAGATATTATGTGCAAAGACACAGGGTGAAAAGCTAATAAACCTATAGTAACCACAACGCAACAAATCCACTTGAAAAGAATGTATAAGAACAGCATTACCTTCAGCACTGTTTCTGTTCATATAGCTTACCCAGAATACCATCTGCGACATTCAGAATTTGTTGTATCGTTCATTGCGCTTTCTTGTTTTAAGTTGTTCTTCAGCCTATCATAAAAAATGCGCCTTTTCTAATATTTTTGTTTATTGTACTCGTCATCAAGTCGAACTTTTCCATTTCTTTCAGTTCTATCTAACCCTCTTTACCATAATCTGCGAAAGTAGGAAAAGAAATGTGTTTGAACACTATGCATCTTAACGTTCGTGTCTGAGCCTAATAACCAACACGTGCACCCGTACGTCCGCAGACAAGCCTATCCTCAGCGTGGAGCTGGGACCACCGTACCGTAACTCAAGTTTGGTCGAGGGTTCGGACGTGTTCCTCGAGTGCAAGGCTCGCGCCAACCCTCCGGTCAGCGACGTGGGTTGGCGGCGGGACGGCGGCGTGCTCGTGCCCTCAGCCGGACCCCAGGAGCTGGTAGTCAACGACAACTTCCTGGCCATCCAAAAGCTCAGCCGCCACGACACCGGCAACTACTCGTGCTTCGCGGGCAACTCCGAAGGCGTCTCCTGAGAGCGCCTGGTTCAGCCTGCGTGTCCAGCGTAAGTGTTTCCTCTTTCTGTTTTGCCTACCAAACATCTTAAAAAGAAGCGCAAGCACTTAAAAAAAAGACATAGGAGTGGGTAACCACGCTTTGATCTCTGCTGAATGCGAAAACAGATGTAAAAGTTCTCAAAACTAAACGCAAATAGCATTTTGAAAATAAATAAAAAAAACAGAGGTGCTGTGCAGGTTTTCTTGAGATGCACGAGCGAATGAGGTGACGTCAGCATCGGTATGGCTCGTCATCTGCGACACTAGCATCATCAAAGCGGGGCCTCTACGATTAGCTCAGGCAACGCGCATAACCAGAATAAGCCACGGAGGCCATGTTTGAAGGTGCGAGAGATGCTTGTTCACATTGTGCTGACCTGTTTGTTGTTATGCCAGACGTTTTAATGCTGAATATGCACTGAGCTTGCAGCTGCAGTCATCATCTCTTTACTTACTTGAGCCTCGGGTACACAAACAGTGCTTTCGCAGTTAGTTTGCGTCAATGTGCCGCGGGAATTAGAGTGCAGCTAGACTCTGCCAGAAGTATCGAAGATACATCGTAGATTCCTGTTAGTTCGTTGACACGCCTGCACTTCGGTGCGTTCACGTAGACAGAGCAAGGATTCTTTTTCTTCCATGTATTTAAAACTCCTATAGCAATTACAGCGAAAAAAAAAAACGTTATCATCGACAATAGTGTGATCCTGGTAAATAGCAAAGCTTTACTATATTCTAAAACCACTTCAGTTTCCATTTAAACATGGTTATTTCGTGCAGTCAAACTCTTTATCACATCATTAGATTAGATTAGCCATCGGTAGGAATTGTGCATGTAGTCGTAATAAAAGAATTATTAAAAATTCAAGATGTGTGATTAGGGGTGCTCTTTTACAGGATGAACACTGCTCAATCGCAGCTCACTTCATAGCGTTGATCTCGTGTATCGCTTCCGAAATTGTCCTACTTTTTTTATCTTTAGTCGCTGAGTAACAAGATAGGGTAGCATGCAAGTGTTCGTAATAGGTAACAATGACAGTTCTTATAGCTATATTGTAACTTTCGTCGCCGTCGAAACCACTTAGTGATGCTTGTAAAAAAACTCGCGCTTTGGAATACGTTAAATAAAATAATAAATAAATAAAATAATAATAATAATAATAATAATACATAAGAATATAATAATAATAATCATAAGAATAAAATAATAATAATACTAGTAATAATAATAATAAAATATAATAAAAATACACGTACATGAGATAATATATTATATTATTATAGTATTATATTATATTATTATTAGTATTAGGATTATTATTATTAGTATTATTATTATTTAGTATTATTATTATTATTATTATTAATCCTTTGTGACGGACGTCACACATTACAACAGGCCTCTACCATTCAGCCTTCTTTCCGGAGCACCCTAGCATCCTACGAGGTGGACCTTCCATCCGCGTTTAACCTTCGTACGAGAAAAGAAACAACTTAATTATAAATATGTTAAAACGAGAAATGAGACGCTGCTTTCTAGAAACTGACAAATCAGTATTGTCTGTAATCAGAGGGTTACCTAATGAGCAAATGCAGATGGTTACCAATCAGTAATTTCTGTGTGCCCAACAGTTTGCTCCGCGTATTGAGCATGAAGCTGTTTGGTGCTCAGGTAACCACGCGCAAAGCATAAGGCGTCATTCAGAAATGCAGGAAAAAAATGTTCCCAAGCAGTATAAGTAGAAGTTGTTGAAGAAAAAAAAAATACATTACGGAACAGTGCAGGACAATTTCTTGTTCGTGGTATTAGTAGCGGACAGGACACGCGGCCACAATGAAAGGCATAATTCATCTATGGCAAACTCGAAGAAAACAAATCTCAACGTTTCATGAGGTGCGTTGAGATCATAGGTCCGGTACATTCATTGGACACATAAAAAGAGAAGTTTTAGTGTAAATGCTTCAGTTTTCGCAGGATATACTGTTATTGCGCATTAGTTTTAGAGGCCCGTGCTTTCACTCAAACCATGGAATGTATTCTGCAAGAGAAAAAAAACTTGTACCTTAAGGCAAGTATTTTTTTCTTTTTTGCGAACAAGAAACGCTGTGGCATGACGCACACATACACTGACCGATGTCTTTCACCCCCAAGACGTGTATGTAGTAGGCATGTTTTGCATATAACAGGTGCGTTATTTTTTTTCTGTGAGGTGGCCGTACGCTGCACGTCTCGCAGGGCGCACCGTCAAACCCTACCATGCCTCTAGGTTTAGGTTTCCATAAAAATAAATAGTCGATTTAAAGATGCGTGAATATGCATGACTTCCAGCTGCAACTTCAGCGTGTGGGCGTGCGTGTGTCAGGTACGAAACACACATCTGACAGATGGAGGCTATTAGATATAAAGTGATCCAATATATATATACTGTTTTATTTCGTTACCCCTCAACCACTGACGACAAATGTTTTTTGTCTAAGGATATACATTATTTGTGTGATGTTCCAGATGAATAGACGCCTGAAAATTATAAGCAACACACAGTACACGCTTCGGCAGAGAAAGGAGGCAAAAATGACAAAGGATTTTAGCCAGGTCTGCAATGCTTCGTTCATTAACTTGCGCTATAGAAGAATGGAAAGATGCGGGAAAGATGCGATAGAACAATCAGTGAGTTCATAACACGTGTTAAAAAGAAAACAGACACACCAGATGAGTATTCTTTATTCATGTTTTCGTATCAAGAAAATTCTCATTCTTTTACAATACAGCAGATGAGGTCAATTTTCAATACTTTGGGCACAAAAGCATTGTTCATTTGTGAAGCTACCCGCACTCTCATAGTTCCGACAATGCATTTGTTAACCGGGTTCATGCATGCATTGCAATCGACTCGTTGCTTGTTCAGGATTGCGCGGATCACGTCCAATAATGATAGCAAAGAATTCTTATGATTAGTGCTGTGCACTAACGAGTTCACCGTCATATTCTTTTTTTCCTTTCTTTGTATAATTCTTGCCTCATTTTTTCACGTGAGATCCTGAGACATCCTCAATCAATTCTATTGCAGATGCAGGTATACATATTCTCCTAAATATACGTGGGCTACTGGGTCGCACCGTACGCAGGTACTCCTGCATTATTTTGGCAGCAATATTTGTTGAACATACGAGCGTGACATGTTCCTCTATCACGAAGTAGGTCAGCTATCGCTCACAACGTGGTAGAGATGGTGTAGCATCCACCTGAAGCAAGACTGCTCTATCAACTGCGGTTCTCTGTTGGAACACCTCTATTTTCTAATCACACTAATTAACCGGAAATATCTTCACTGCTCCGTAACGCTCATGCTCAATTTTCTTATCTCGCTGAGACACCGGATGTGGATTACGGTGTTTTTACTAATTGCCAATGGAGTACACTAATAGCGCAGCAACAAAAGACGGCTGTTGAAGCTGACTGCGTCGATGGCAAAGTTATTACCCATAATTGCTGCGTTGCAGTGGGGGCGCGGCTTAGTGAAGAGAAGCGCCTGTTTTTTCTCACACTGAATGGTTCCGACAGAGAGGTATAAACGCTACCACGCTATCGGTTTTGCCCCGGCGTGACGCGTGCAGAAGTTAACGTGCGCAGACCACAGCTTCGCGAGGCGTTCTCTTCGCTATTAGGAGGTATTGAACCGAACCTAAGCACGCTCATTACTGGTTGAAGCTTTTCTTTATGAACGGGATACTAATTATGGCACGCAGAGGTTTTGCTAAGTCTTTATTATTGTTAATATTATCAACCTTTGTATAACTCTGCAAAGAGTGTGACACGCATGACCTTGCAGGACGCCACGAGAACAATGCAGCAATATTATACATACGCAACAGGTCGACTCCTGTATTCAGTCGGGCGAGACGTCGAGTTAATAGAAATTTGTTATGAATATTGCTTTCAATATTCATTTCACCTGTCTCACTATTTTTATCACGACATGTGCTTATTAAAAGGACGTGAACATGAACGCGTTTCACGGAAGGCGAACAACCATTAATAGTCAAATTTCAAATGTTAAGTGATGAACTCTTTGTGATATTCGTCAAGGCTATTATATGTCATTTACCCCAGAAAGAAAAAAGGTATTCTATCAGTTGAGACGGGCTTTTTTTTTTCTAAAGCTTGAGGAAGCAAGCTATAAAAGGTTTTTTTTTTAATCTCTCACTCGATACAACGTTTCTTTATGCGTTTTGTCATATGCGAAAACTTTGAGTTCGCAAATAAGGAGCAATGAGACGGTCGACCCTCGGGATCACGAACCATGCTGATTTATTCAAGTAAAATTGTATGCTAAAATATTTATAGTCTTATTAGAATCAATTGATTTGAGGTTACGGAGTAAGTGTGAGTGATAAATTAGAAGTTTCTGGTATGCGTAAATTTGCAACGCTTCTCTGTTTTATGCAAGCCATGTCTTTTCTTGGATATATGTAATACTAACGGGACCGAGGTTCTAATATTCCTAAAATATAATATGATAAGTTTTTGAGTTTAACGTCCCAAAGCATCGATATGATTATGAGAGACACCGCAGTGGAGATCCACGGAAATTCGGCCCATCTAGAGATCTTTAACGTGCACCTAAATCTAAGCGCACGGGCCTGAAGCATTTTCGCCACCACCGAAAATACCGCCGCCACTGCCGAGATTTGACCCCATGAACTGCGTTCTAAACACGTTAGCTTCGCACAGAACGTCTTTACTTTACAGTGTAAAAATTAACAAGAGTGTATTGGTTGACTAATTCCACAGGTTACCAGAAGACCACTTAGCAGGATGTATCAGTCTTTGTGAACTTGTAATAAATTGGAAAAAAATAAAACAAAGCACCCATGCAAAGAGAAATTGTTTTGTATGTGTGCTTTTTTTTCTGCAACACGTGGGAAACTTTGAACGTTCTTTCGACATGGAGATATGAATAAAACCAATAGTT